TATTATATAATTATATTATTATATTAAATATTAGAATAAACGTTAAAATGTAACTGCTAAAATATTAGTTCAATTATTATTTTTCAATTTATAAATCCTAAAAAAATTGTTCAAAATTTAATTATTTCTATTTAAAAAAATTTCTTTATTTCATTCATTTATTAATGAAATTAAAAATTTTAAAAAATTAAATTTTTTTTTGTAATTTGCAAAAAAAAACCAAAAACAATAAACCAAAAAATAATTATTTATTAACAATTAAAAATAATTATTACCGCTTTTTGAATTTTCTCCTTTCTTTCTTCTTCGGTTATTTTCTCATCACTTTTTGATTCGTTCTTTGCATTTTTCTTTGATGATAATATTATTTGAGATGAATTTAAATCGGCCGTATTACTGGTCGATGTACTGGTGATCGAATATTTTGGTGTTGTTGTAATAGCACGATTTTTCATGCTAACATTATGATGATGAAGAAGATGTTGCTGATAACCAGCATAACTTCTACTTGGACGACGATAATTATGATGATCAAAATGATATTCTGTAACATTTTAAAAGTTTATCTATTAATTATTAAAAAATATAAGAAAAAACACAAATAATTAACATTTCAAATTTTGAAATTACCAAATAGATATTAGCAATTATAATATGATCGTATATTATTATTAGTAGTTATAATATGATCGTATATTATGATGTATTAATTTTTTGAATAATATAATAAGTTAATATGATAGTCTAATCATTTATAATTTTGACCGGAAATTTTTTTTCCGAAATATATATCCGAATTTTTATAAAATACATATTACAATTTTAATCCGATTCGGAAATAGTTAAAAAGAAGGCTAAATTGTAGAATAGTTAAATGATAACTTAAATGGGTTAAATAGTAAGGAAAGATAAAATGTTGATTTTAAAGATGGCTGTTATAAATAGGCTTTAATTTTAAATTTTAATTATATTATTAAAATAGGTAAATGTGTAATTTTTTGTTTACTAACTTCTATATACTATATCATTATACCTATACCTCTCCTCTTCTTCAACTTCTTTAACAAATTTCAACATTTCAACATTCGTAATTTTACGTTTATAATTGAGAATTATTATCGGTATGATCAATCATTTCATTTCATCCATTTCTTCTTTGTTTGCTAATTTTAAAATTATTAATTAAATTTATTTTTAAATAACATACTTTTTGGAAATGTTTGCTTTTTGTCGGAAAATCTCCTTGATGGATCTGCCGGAAGAGAAGATAATAATCGATTTTCTGTCTTTTTTTTGGAAGGAATTAATGTATCTGTTGTTTTTTGACTCCTAGAAAATATTGCCATTTGTTTATACGACTTATTTACCTATTTGTTTATTTATTTACTTATCTACTATTCACTTATTTATTTGTTTACTTATTTATATATTTGTTTACTTTACTTATTTATTCGTTTATTTCATTTCATTTGCATCAATTGCTCCATTCAATGCTTGTATTTAATAATTTCAATTATTATTTCATTTGGGGCTATTAATATTGTAAAAAAAGAAACTGTAAGTAAGGAAGGAAATAAAATTTCAAAAACATATTTGAGATTATCCATCGCTAAAACTTCATATCCTCTTCTATTATATCAAATTTGTTAAATGTTTTTTGTTAATTTTAATTTTAAATTATTATAGCTATAAATTTTGCACTTCATAAATAAAACAAATTATATATTAATCTTTAACCTCTATATTAAATAATAAAATTTACCTATTATTTTGAATCATTTCTACATCCACTTAGTAAAACGTGTAATTCACGTGCAAAAATATAAAGCAATTTATTAGTATTTTTGATATTATAATAAAATAATATCAAAAATTTAAAATTTGCACGTAAAAATATAAAATAATTTATTAGTATTTTAATATTTGCAACAAAAAATAATACCAAAAATTTAAACTTGCACGTAAAAATATAAATTAATTTAATAGCATTTTAGTACTGTAAATAAAATAATATCAAAAAGTCAAATTTGCACGTAAAAATATAAATTAATTCATTAGTATTTTAGTATTGTAATAAAATGACATCAAAAATTTAAAATTGCACGTAAAAATACAAATTAATTTATTAGTATTTTAGTATTGCAACAAAAATAATATCAAAATTTTAAATTTGCACGTGAAAATATAAATTAATTTATAATTTATATTTTAGTATTTTAATAAAATGATATCAAAATTATCAAAAAATGATCATTTCTCTTTTCAAAAATATATACTTTTTACTTATCTTTTTCTTTGGTACCATTTGCGTGTTACTTTCATCCGACATATTATAATAATTTAAAAAGTTTATATCAAACTATTCACATCAATGATTTAACAAAACAATGACTTCATATTTTTTCCACCGCTTCTTTTATTAAATTTTAATAATGCAAAAATTGAAATATTGAAATTTGAATAAAAATTCATTTATGCTATTATCATTACTGTTATTTTGAAATGGGATAATTTTGATGAGAGAGAAATTTTTCCCATATACTCTCAATTTTTTTCATTATTTTAAATGATATAATTTAAATGATTAACAATTAATAATTAGACAAACTATTGTACAAATAAATAAATACTAAATAATTAACAATTAATAATGCAAATTGTTTACACAAATAAATGAATGTTATTATATACAAAGTTAATAATAAAAGAAATGACAAGTAACGATATATATTGCAAGTAATAAATAAATAGATAAAAATAAATAAATAAACAATAAAAAAAAAAAATAAACATACAAATACGAACAAATAAACAAACATGTATGTATACGTGTATGTGTGTGTATGCGTACGTGTGTGTATGTGAATGTATATGTATGTGTATATATGTATGTGTGCATGTGTGTATGCGTACGTGTGTGTGCGAATGTATGTGTATGTGTATATGTGTATGCGTATATGTGTATGTGTGTATGTGTGCTTGCGTATCTGTATGTGTGTGTGTATTTGTATGTGTGTGTATCTCTGTATGTATGTGTATATGTATATATGTGTGTGTGTATGTGCATATGTATATATGTGTGTATGTGTATGTGTATGTGTGTGCGTTTGAAATTAGTGATAGCATTTCATATTGGTTATTTTATTATTTGATATATTATACATTTCGGATGGCAATCTTACAGAGTGTTTTATGTCGTCATGGTGACACTGATAGATGTGATATGAATGTGAGTGTGTGTGTCTGTGTATGGATGTATATATATATATATATATATATATGTGTTGTATTTGTATTGGATCATGTATGTACATGTATGTGTGTGTATGTGTGGATATATGTATATGTGTGTATGTGTATGTATGTTGTGTATATATGTGTATGTATTCGATCATTAAAAAAATTTAAGTAAGTGAGGAATATTCGTTCTTCATTTAAATCGATACATTTTAATTTAGTATTATATCAATTAACTATGCATAGTTGATCTTCGATGTGTAATAAGTATGATGAGAAAAAGAAGCCAGGTGATTTGAATATAATAATTTTCTAAAATTGAAACAATTAACTTTCAGGTAGAAGCTATTCAAAAATATTAACCTATGAAAAGTTTTGTTGAGAATGTAGTTTGAAATTTTTTCATTGTTATTATAACCGATCTTAATGTATCATTGAAATTGTTCTATCGTTGAAAATTTACCATCAAAAGATTGTCGTAAAAAAGATTGCAATTTTCAACGCTGAATATTTTAATTTTATAAATAATTAAATTTTATTGTTTTAGTATTTTAATTTTATAAATAATTAAAATTTTCTTTCTTTCCTTCTTTTTAGATTAAAGTATAAAAGGAATATATAAATTATTATAAGATTTATGTATACAAAACATATGGCCGCTTTAACTGGTCAAACATTAGCGGATCGATATTTGATGACAAAACGCCTTGGTGATGGAACATTTGGTGAAGTATTACTTGCTAAAAAACTTGATACTGGTGATAAAGTAGCCGTTAAAAGGTTTCAACTTTTCATTATTTTATAGTTTAAAATTTGATTTAATTTTTAAACTTATAAAGAAAAATTAAAATATTTAAATTTAATATCTTTAATTAATTTCTATTTTTTTAATTAATTAAAATTAATTAGTTGAAATAATTTATATTTACATTTATTGTTCTATCATTCAAAATATTATTGATCGGTTAAATTTTAATTATTGTTTTAGAATGAAACGAAAATTTTATTCATGGAATGAAGCAATGGCATTACGAGAAGTGAAATCATTAAAAAAAATGAATCATCCAAATATCATCAAATTACGTGAAGTAATCCGTGAACATGATAATTTATATTTTGTTTTCGAATATATGCAAGAGAATTTATACGAACTTATGAAAGACAGGTAAATGAAATGTATGAATTAATAATTATAATATTAATTTATCAATTATTTCAATTCAGATATTACTGCTACTGTTATTATTATTATTATTATTATTATTATTATTATTATTATTATTATTATTATTATCCGCCTGTTAAATCGCATCCATCACAATCCTGCTGCACGTCTTCCTCTTTTTCAGCGTCTGCCATCATTAATCACAAGATTTCACAAAAATAAAGATTAAAA